GTCTAAAAGAGATCCTGTAACACCCACCGATCAATCCCGGAGAACCAGCCGGTGGATGCCACAATCGGTGCCGGAGCACCATCTTATGTCACTATAAAAGCTAGATCACAAATTAGAAGTGGTTAAATTTTCATAAGGAGGCAAAGCTAGATCAGCAAAATTAGAGAGTTGGATGTAAATTTTCATAAGGAGGCACGTAATTAAACATTTCTTTTTTTTTTTTTTTTAAACAAAAACTAATGTTTAAGGAAATTCCTACGAAAATCCTACGAAAATTTTGCAAGAGTTTCCCCTAAAAATTAACTTGCCACACAAAGAAAATATACACACTTCCAATTTTCTCCAAACCCCCAAAACTCCAGTTCACACAACATACCACAAGTACTTCTAAATATCTATCAACGTACGCATAATATTCTAAACACATTCTTTTCAAGGAATCTATAATCATCATACACCAAAAATATAATAAAATGTTATTTCCGTAAATAATCATAACTCTTAATACATTATAAACTTATTATATCCAACCTCCACAACACAATATTTATATAGATGCCAAAAATCACCATTTACAAAATATCCTACCCAAAATGTGATATCTACTCTGATGTTACTCCTCTGGTCTTAGAGAACACCCTCCGCTCTTAACCTGGTCTTGAAGAACACCCTCCGCTCCTAACTTGCGCGTGATAAAAATCAACGCGCTGAGTGGAAGACTCAGTGGTGCTAAATAACCAACAATTTAATGAACAATAATAGCCAATGCAAAACTTAAATTACTCAACTACATAAATACCGAAATCGCATTCATTTAATTCAAATACTTTGAAAGCAATGAGAAGATTATAAATACAAAAATGTCTTCATTCTTTTATAGCAACAATAAAATTTCATTTTTCGTTAAGGCTCATACTCATGCAGAATGAACATAAGCAGATTTGATCGTGGCCTATTAGCGCCACCCCCATCACATACTCGTGGCTCTTGATCGTGGCCTATATTAGCGCCACCCCCATCGCACAATCGTGGCCTATGAAAGCACCACCCCATCACACAAATAAGCGCGTCCGCCTATTTGTAAGGGATGATAACGGCTGATAACCCTAGCATATGATCATAGCTTCACAATAACAAAATCCATCTCATCATACCACGTCTCAATCATGCATAGTAGAGCCCAAATCAAAATCAATCTTTCACAAAAGCAATAATTCTTAATCAAAACCTCTTCATTTCTTAATACTCAACATGATACTTCATCTCAACCACTGTCAGGCATATATACATATAGTCATACATGCATACTTGCAAGTTCCACTTAAGAGAAAATTAAATCAAAAGTCCACATCTCAATACATAAATTTAAGACATAACTTGAGTTATAGGTCTCCAAATTGAACAAAATTAGAGTCATTAGAAAGCTAAGACAAATTTCTACAAATGTTCAGAAGGGAGCACAGCCCAGATCAAACAGGAAGATAGCAAACAAAAGCTCAGAACACAAACCAACAGATCAGACCTGATTCAGCAGAACCAAGTTCAATGTTTATATTCCTACTTCACCAGAACACTGCAATGAAACCCACCAATTCAAAACGAGAGATTATCAAGACCACAGGAAACAACTTTTATGAAGAACTCAAAACCTAATCTTGTTCATTTATAGTGTCAAAATGGGCACTCAATTTAGTAATGCATGTGGCCCGATACAACAGAGGCCCGACACAACAGAGTCAGTTTGGGTGTTTTAGCCATAAGTTGAGCTATGTATCTCCAAATTGGACACAAGAGGATGGGTTGGAGATCTAAGAGGTAGAGCTACAACTTGTATGAAGAACATAGGACATTATGTCGCCATTTTAGCTGTCAAAATGGACAATCAGTTTGGATATACAGGTAAGACACCATAACAGAACCAGTTTTGGTATTTAAATCATAATTTGAGCTACAAGTATTGAATTAGACATAAGAATATGTTTTGGAAATCTGAGAAATAGAGCTACAACTTTCATGAAGAAGTCAGAAACATATGGGAAGTATAAGGGGGTCGAAAATGATGTCCAATCCCACTTAAGAACATATCTAACATTAAAATTCATCAATTTAACCAAAGTTCGGCCAAAAATATATTCAAAACCCTAACTGTGTAAAAACAAACTTAAACAAGTGAAAAATTCTGATGCACTAAACCTATTAAACCAAGCTTGAAATAAGCTTGGAAAGGCCTTACTCCTTGGCTTTCTCTTTACCCTTTGAGGATGGTTCTCGCAAAACCTCTTCAAAGCCATGAGAGAAATCAACACTACAAGCAAAACTTGACAACAAGGAAATAGTTGGAGCATGATTTAATGCATCAATAACATGGCCTAAACCATGCGAATTCTACTTAACAATAAAACTTACTTGCTTCAATGGTAACTTCACTGTCTCTTTTCTTTTAATCACGCAAACTCAACTTCTACTCTTTAATTCTAATAGAATTAAGTTACTAATCTATGGGTTTATATGTAGTTGTGTTGGTGGTTAACACTTCTGGAGGTAAGGAAAATGAAGAAAAATGAGGAAAAGAAGGAGAAGATGGAAGATGGCGTGGGAGAAGAAGGAGAAAGAAG